CCCCAAAACCCCAAAACCCCAAAACCCCAAAACCCCTTATTATAATTAATTTTTTGAACCTAAGACTAGTAATTTAGTTGTTTTGAACTGCTTTTGGGGCCTTCAATATCTTTTCAAAGGTGTAATCTCCTTCACCATTCATTCTGAGCAAATAGTCATGATATTTCCAAAGAGTAGGTCTGTGAGAAACAGTGATAAGAGTGATTCCAAGATCTTTAGAGTGGGTATACATAATTCTTTCAATATCAAGACTGACAGAGCTAGTACATTCATCAAGGATAGCAAATTTAGGTTTGTGGTAGAACAGCCTAGCCATAGCAATTCTTTGTTTTTCACCACCGGCCATAACAGCATTCCAGTTGGCAAATTCATCAAGTCCCTTTCCTTTATCAATATACTTTTCCAATTGAACAATTTTCAAAAGTTCTTTAAGTTTCTTGTCGGTCATTCTCTTCTTACGCATTTGAAGTTTATTATGAGGGTAAATAATTTGATCTCTTAAAGTTCCAGTTGGGAGATATGGTCTTTGAGGGATATAGAAAATAGCTTCATTGCTTGGTCTGTGCACCTTTCCTCCAAATAATGGCCATAAAGCACCCATGATTCTGAACAGAGAACTCTTTCCACATCCATTTGGACCAGTGATAAACAAGTTCATTCCTGTCGTAACCTCAAAGTTGATGGCTCTGATCAGCAAGTCTCCATTTGGTGACACAATCGGCACGTCTTCAAACGTGATGCCGTCTCCTTCGAAGTAGGTGCCTCTCTGGCTCATGTCAACTTTCTCTTTGTCGCTGCCTCCGACGATGTGTCTCTTGTAGGTGCCTTGGTCCAGGTCGCAGAGCACTTCCTCGACTTCGTACACAAGAGAAGTGTAGCCTGCCAGGTTCTGGACTTCTTTGTACGAGACCACGATTCTGCCGATGGCTTTGGCCAGAGAAATCAGCATTCCTGAGTTTCTGATGTAGTCTCTGAAAATTTGGGATGGGTCGTCAGAGACAGTGCTCAGGTACTGCTCGCTGTTCCGTCCGAAGACAGGGAGTCCCAGGACAGTGTACCCGACCAAGACTGCTCCGTATTTGGTGATCATGGAGTCGAATATTCCTTGGTAGAACCTGGCACCCATTGTCTTCGAGATGTGCTGGTGGAGCTCGTCGTAAGTGTTGTTAATTCTCTTCCTCTCCCATCTTGCACCATTGTAAAAAGCAATTTCTTCTGAGTGGTTGAGTAGATCGGAGTGGCACGATCTGAACTTGCCTTCTAAGTCTTGCTGCTTGGCAACCAGCTTTCCGAATGTTGGAGTTATGAATCGAATAAAGATTCCTGAAACGAAGTACCAGGCGATCATCATTGCAGGCCCCTCCCAGCCAACTAACTCTGCAAGTTTTCTTGAGAGCAACACAATGTCCAGCAAAGGCTTCGAGAAGTTGGAGTACAGGTTGCTCAGAGATGTCGCCCACTTCTCAATGTCCTGAGTCAGTCTCTGATCTGGGTTCTTGATCCTGTTGTCTAAATTGCAAATTTGGTAATATATCATTTTGTCAAGATATTTGCTGTTGAAGTGCTGAGTAAGTCTCCTCCTGAACAGCATCGTCAAGTTCTTGTTGAAATAGTCTAAGGCTGAGTTCACTGTGGATGCGGGAATCGAGAACAGCCACAGGAAGATCACAGACCCAACAAATGCTTTGAAATCTCTGCTTACAATTGCTTTGACAGTGCCGCCATTAATAGTTGCTTGATAGATTGATAAAAACGTTCTTGCAACCAAGGTGATTGAGAGGCCGACAAGGTTCAACACTTCATATGACTTCCATGACGGAATAACGATTTTGAGTAGTTTCCAGGCTCTCCTAAAGAACACTTTGTCGACAGTTCCCTTGGATTTATTTCTTTCTCTCACTTTTGTTTTCGATGGCTTCTTCTTTGACGCTTCTGTCGAACTTCTGTGCTCTTTTTCTGATTCCATAAGCAATGAGGCCGAGGATGAGTAAAGAGATTGCTTTCCTTGTAGCAGTGCTGGTGGCGGCTTTGAACAATGGGACGAACACGTCACCTGCGACTAGCTTTGAGAAGTTAACCATTTTTAAATACGTAATTCTTTATGGTTTGCCAATACACGGTATTTTATCAGGGGTTTTGGGGTTTTGGGGTTTTGGGGTTTTGGGGTTTTGGGGTTTTGGGGTTTTGGGG